ATTTCATGTAGTCATTGAATTGGTACTTTCCTACAAAACGTATAAGGTCAGTTATACTTCAATTGTGTAATTGTACTCTTGTAAGTGCAAATTGTGGAACTAAACATTTGTGGTTAGGCAGAAGATCAAGACTAATGACTTTAAACTTATCACAAATAAAGATGTAATAGTAATTATAATGATAATATTTCTTATTGGTATTGTTATTATTGTGATTTTAAAATTCCTATTACTATTATAATTATTGTCATTATGATCATCATCTATATTTTTCTGTTTGTTGTGACAACTCAAATCCATATGAGATTTTGCATTTTTGTATACATCCTCTTCGATTAAGTCGCTAAGGTTGTTCACGGACAGACGTTCCAACACATGGTCAGTCTTTTTTAGAAATAATTTAAGGATCACCTACACTTGTTAAGGACGTTCTACACGTCGCATATCATAAAACGCCTTATACAAAAGAGAAATATACTGCGTATGAGAGTAAAAGTCTTCTTCTCAGATACCAAAGACTAACATCAATTTTTTTAAATTTTCGACATAATCCGCAAATTTATGCATTTAGATGTGTTTTAAAATAATTGTTTTGAACCTGTAATGCACGTGACGGGATAGAAATAACCACTTTTTGCCAATAAAGTAGCACTTGCATCTGCTTTTATGCGCAAAATCGTACGTACAGATGATCGGCAAGTTAAGATGGATGCAGTCAAGATGATTTCATTTACTTGCCAAACATCTGTGCTCACGGGGATGTCTTAAAATTAGAGGCAAATGTCACAAGTATCAGTATCAATGCATGTAACTCCGTTATATGCAATTCCCGATGCGTGTTTTTTTCATAAAGTGATCACATTCGACCCACCCACATGCCCTAGAAGTTTGTCATATTTATTCTGAAACTCCTGTAGAGTGTGTCTTGAAAATCTGTCGTCCCTCCACCCTTCCGTTCTTTCGTCCAACCTTCTTGAACACCAATATGTTCTCAATTGATTTGCAAATGGTTATGAGGGACAGCAGGACTAGAGACTTGCCACAAATAAAGACAATAGTAGTAATAATAGTTATTATTATTGTTATTAATATCATAAATATTATTGCCGATATTTCAAGACGTGGGACAATGTAACATATTTAGTGCATTCCTTTTCGATTTTTTATTATATGTATCCCAAATTCGACCTTCCTTTTTCACTTCGTGTTTTCTTGCTTTCGTATTTTCCCCCTTTGGGAAACTATTTCGGCCATAAATCCATCTGCAATTCACTCTATCCTGTAAAATATTTGTTGCATACTCATATTTTTAGTGAAACACTTTCAACCTGCTTTATTCTATGATTCTTGCAATATTTTCAATGTGAAAATATATCTTGTGACCATATCATGGAGTAAAAGTAATTGTTTAACAATATTTTGTTGGATCGATAATTCAAGAAGAAGTGTAATGTGAGAGTTCAACAGACAATGATGTCCCTGTCTACACCTCCATGGAAGATTGTACTAAAGGTAAAAAGATTACCGAAAGGACTACTAAATCATCGACTGTTCACTCTAAACCCACATTTTCATCTGTCTATTATGTTCATCCATCTTACCGTCTGTCGTCGCGCAGACAGGGCCTGTTTACCCCGTTTCCGGCGCTCGCTGCTTCTACCTGGGTGAAGACTGCATTCCACGAAAAGATGCACAAAAAATGATTAATGACGCAGTAGGACGCCAACTTTAAGTTGAAGAATATTATTTCAATTTAGTCTGCATTGAAACCAAATTCTAACTCAATATGCTTTTGCTAATTTTTTTTCTATGACGTAACGGTAACAATATTTTTCATAATATTAAGAAAAACAATTATATTTGAAAAGCACGCACGTTCCAGAGCAATTAACATATTTCGTACTACACCAATATTGTTCGTTATTTATAAATGCTGTAGTTCAGAGTATCATAAAAGAATTTGCGTATCATTAATAACTCTTTATATAGCTATCTTATGCGTAAATCACGTGGAGGAATATAAATGTAGCTTCAATCTCATCAGCCGCTGGTTATATTAAATGAATACCTTGCAAGTCACTTGAGTGCTCCTATATGTTGTAAAATGGTTTCTTCTACCTCCATTACATCTTTTTTGTCAATATGATTAGTCACAACACCAAACAAACCTTTAAAAAATACCATTTTATCACGTTTTTTTTATTAACGTAAGTTGACTGTATTCTGTTATCAGAAAGGCTCTCTTGTGTCACGTTTGTCATTTCAAACGCTTGTGTGCATTCCTACAGAGCATACAATTTGAACGGGTTGAATCTAGCATCGACTTAACAAAGAAACGACAGTAAGCGAATGCGTCTCCAAACATTGAAAATGAAGGTGGTGTAATTTCAATCTTCAGAACTATTTTTCCCTACGTGATTATCCCCTCCTCTTCGGAGTCTGCCCTACATCGTCGACATAAATTTCTTCGCAACCCGCAACATAGTTCCTTATCAGGTCCGCAGTTACCCTCATCGTCATATTGTCCTCACTACAACCTTCAATTCGTCTAGCGTAGCCATTTGTTGCAAGCGGCGTCGCTGCGAATCTTGCCGCCTCCGCCATCGTTTAAGTGCAGATTTTCGACCTCTACGTACACGTTATCTCTTCGTCACCTTCACCTCCGTGGGCTTGGTGGTCGTCTTCGCTGAAGATTCCGTCGTCTATGCATCGCCGTCACCATTACCTCCATCGCCGTCGAGACCTCGGCGGTGGCCAAACGTCGATGGCGTTGGCGTCTACCACCGCACGGCCTCCCCTCCACCTGTCGCAGAACTTAGTCTTTCATACGCATGCACGGACGCACGCGTTTCCTAAGCCCGCGAGCTCGCTTACTGTGCCCGGCGCGCACGCGAGGCGGGGAGGCGGAGCGGAGGCAGGGCGGGGGTGGGGCGGGGACTGCGACGGGACGGGCGGACGGCGCGGGCGGAGGGGTAGAGTCCGTTGCTCGACGCGGAACGCCAGCAGGTTGGTTGGGCGGGCGAGCCTACCTGCCCGCGCCTCGTGACCACATAGGCGCGTAGGTCAGTCAGCGTCTGTCTGCGACCGGCACGACGCCGCCGCCACACCGCCACCGACGGTCTTCCCCGCGACCACCGCCGCGGCGCAACGCCATTCTTGCAGTCGGGTGCCACGCCACGCTCAGGAGTGGAAACCCAGAGGCGCGCGCGCGCAGCGACGGGCTCAGACACCCACGCGTGCACGCACGCACACGCCTCCGCGACGGGACGCGTGCCAGCATTTGCCGCCGCACCGCCACCGACCCGCGCACCCCGGCGCCGACGCCGGCCCGCCCTTCGACCGTGCCCGAGGTATTCGTGCCGCCCCGCGCTTGCCGGTTACGGTTTCGACTTGAGCGGACGTGACAGTCCCCAGCTCCATCGCGGGACGCGAAGTTTCGTTAGGCTGAGGACGCTCCCGCAGAGGTGGAGCCGGCCGCTCGTTCGCCAGTTCGCCGGCGTCGCCGTTCGTCGCCCGAGCACGCCCGCAAGATAAGTGAAAGACGACTGTCGGTGCGCGTGACGTGTTCGATCGAAATCTGCCGGCCATCGCGATTTTAAACGCGTGAAACACGTTCGTGAAGACACTCGCTTGGCAGATCATTTGCCCGTGACAACCGCTCTGTACACGAGCCCATATCAAGGTACGTTCTTAAATTTAAAAATACTCCAAATGAAGGCGTTTTTAAAAGGAGATAGAGGAACTGAGACTCCTATTTCATTAGGCGCCATGTACTAAGCGATTAGCTTATTATTGTGGTCAGTGAAACAGTGTGCACCTTTCAGTCAGTCATTATTTTTGGGCGATCGTGTAAAGAAAAAAATAAAAGATCACGCTCAAATACGAGAAAAAGTGTGGATCGCAAAATTTGGAAAATCTATGATCTGTCATATTCCTAGAAATACCGCAATTCGGTCAGAGAAAGGTCTCTCGTCTTTCCTTTCCAAGAAAACCGATGAGCGTTGCTGCTTAACCACGAGTTCCATTCGTTTTCCGGACATCGCCTACTGACCCGGTGTGGTGCATTCCTTGTCAGGCATTAAAGTCTCCAAGACCACCGCAAGTAGAATTCTGGTTAATAGACTGTTTCCTACCGGACTGAGCAGACTACCGGTTTCATGTTAGTGTAGTTGAATTAGAAACCGGACAACAGATGAATGACAGTTCTCGAATATAAGTTTACATTGAGGTATTACAAATCACAATATCCTAATTTTTAACCTCCAAAATAAGCAGTATAATCTCGAGGTACCTATATCCTTATTGACAGCAGATCGCAGTAACTAAAGCAAAACTGTGAGGTTTATAAAATTCCCTGATTATAAAATACTTTCACAGCTTCCGTGACTATCTCCACACTTACGGCATGGAGGTTCTGCGCCGCTAATAGCTCTCATCGGTACGTACTCGTTTCCTTATAATGCTAATGCTTTCTAAACTCAACAATTAAAGTGTAGTATTTTAGCAAAGTACTTCTTGATAACCACACGTATTCAATAAGACAGAATTGTTTTCACAAAGAACGTGAAATTGTTGTCCTTCGTCGTGAGAAAAACGTCGTATTGAAAACAAATCGTATGCATTTTAGAGTCCGCTATTCCAAGCACTGTGCCCCATTAAATCTTAACGTCAATATTTACCTTCTCAAGAAAATTGTGTGAACGTTCACAGGAATTACCCATTCACATAAATCAAACTCATTCTGACGAGAACAAGATACACACGGCGGTCCGCTGACCCATAAAGTTCTAATGAAGGACGTGAGAAGTTCCCTCAATACTGTTAAAATAGCAAACGGTTCTTGGACTGAAATTCGATCTTTCAGTAAATACACTCCGGTACGCACGCGCCGTGCTAGAAAAACGTTTCAACAGTTTGTCCCTTTGGCAGGCGCGAAGTGAAGCTAATTTGTTGGGCACGTTTACAGGTCTTCCGTCACCGTTCATCGAAAAGGCGAAACCATGTCTGAACGACTTCTGCACTTCCTAAAGGTGATTATCGTCGGTTAGATTTCTTTAAATAATAAAAAAAGAAATCTGAAGAGAAGAATATCTGGATTTCAATTGATAAATTATATATTCAGTAACCTCCATTCTCGCCATGGCAACAAGTAATCGCTTCTCCCAAGATCACGCCACAAAGCTTCGCCTTCCGCTGATCTGAATATTCGAGCAGCCGTGGTGTAGAGTCGTGGGTGTAACCGCGTCGGTCGACTGAGTGGCAGACGGAAGAAGGCGAAGAAGAAGAAGACGAACCGGCGACAAAACAACTGTCGGTCGCCAGTCACCGCGCCTACCAGCTGGCGACTTCGTGTGTGGGGCTTGTCTACTGCCACTGTTGCTGCTGCGGCTGCTGCATTGAGGTGAGTGAGGTACTGTTATAACAGTAAGCACATACACGCGCCAAGACAACGCGAGTCACACACACACACACACGTCCGGGAAACGGAGACGCGACCGAGAAGCGGTCGGATGCAGACGATGTTTTCTCTACTTTTTCCACTGATTTGTGCGGTAAACGTTGTCCGTGCGTCGGGCTGCGGGTGGTTTTTGCGTAGCGTCGTCTACCGACGTTCTTCCCTCCGAAAAGATAGCGTCCGCTTCCGCACATGCTGATGTCCAGCCCCCAATCTGGCAAAGCGACAACCGTCCCGGGACAGTTAAGGATGGTCCTTCGGTAAATGTTTATTACGGGTGTTAAACGTTTTTCATCTCAAAATCGCGTTGCGGTAACGGCGTTTCATGAAGTCTCTGCCGCGGTACTTTCTACGAAGACCTAGGTAACTCTTCCTTCTAGGTACGACGTAAATAAATGTGTGCTGTTTTGCTCAAAGAAGTGGGTAAATGGGTGGAGGGTATACATATGAAGGCCCACCCATATTGGAATCTAATTTACTGCAGAATTCAATAAACAGCAATAAAATATATTCTTGGTTTATTTATTATAGCATCACAGAAAAAATGTCAAAATAATATTCATTCAGCTTGCAAAAATCGGCATTGCACTTTTTATCTTTCCTGTTTATCTACAGAGTGTAAGCGGCCCATCAGCCACCGTGTTTTCATTGAAACTTAAAAACTATATTGAAACTGCTCCAATCGTATATCCAATAATACGCAAAGCATGGAAATTATTTTCAATAATTTAACATTTTTGTGACATACTATTTACATTCTAAGAAATTTAAAATAACATTTATAAGAAGGGATGTGAACTTTCATTTTTTAAATATATTTTAATATAAATGATGTGTTTTTAATCTACGTACATGTAATTCAATAGCCTGGCGGCTTAGTTTATTGATCAGCGTGCTCGCGACCTCGGGTTCGATTTCCGGTCAGGCACGCTTATAGCGTGCGTTTTGCTTTGCTATGTACCAGTATATGTTTCTGTGTGTCGAAAATAACATTCACTTCTCAGGTTGAGAAGACCGAAATACGGCGTGGGGATGTCTTCGTGCTAACCACACGTCCCCTTAACCCATGGCCGCGAGGACGGGATGTCGCTGGTAGGCCATAGCCTGTACAATGGCTGACGAGCCAACTACAAACAAAACAAATAAAGTGGCAAAGAAACTTTCATTTCAGTCAGAAACTATTTTTCGTTAATATACGCACAAAAATAGTTATTTAGCACATGCCTCTTTACCGGTAGCTAATTTTGCTCTTTGTTGATTTGAATCTCGTTAAAGAACGAGAAACTTCTGAATGTAGTATTTTTTCAATGTGAAATTTCGTCAATCTGGTTTTAATTATTTGAAGATTTTTGATTCGTTTATGCTAATAGATTATCATCTATCATCTTTTTTATCTAGGAAGGCTTGATACAGCCTCTATTTTTACCCTAATGGAAAGTAATAACACTTTATATAAAGAGAAGAAAAACATGTAAATTTTATAGTGTTTGTTATCCATGTGTATCACATCTACCTCCCAAGACTGTTTATGGACACTACGTTCCATTGAAAGCGTCGAATTACTTTAATGTCGTAAATTAACAAAACATACTTGATTCATTCCGTACAAATATAGTTAATTATAGGCGGGTGATCAATAATTTGTTCAATAGAATTAAGATCACATAACTATTTATTTTCACATCAATTCCAATCTTTCTCATGTAACGGCTGTAGTATTCATTAGATAGTACTAAAACTCCATCTTTTTTTTAATGATACTCTTTGATAAAGATTTTTACTAAGTATATTGTGCATTTTTGACTGTGTACAATCTGTTAGACATTTTATCAACAAACAAATATTATCGCACTAGGATAAATATTGACAATTAGTTTTTATTTTTTGGAAAGTGATTTTATGGAAAGTTTTTATTTTATGGTAAGTGATTCATTAGAATCTAGTCAGGAATGTGTAATAGATATTAAGAAATTTTCTTTGTTTTATTTGAATTTAAAATTTGAAGTTAATAATAAAATTCAGCTTTCGGTTTCTTATCTCTTATATGGAACGAAAATTGTGGTTTTAATAGCGTTTACGAAGTACGTATTCCTAACTTAACATGGGTTGTTTTCAATTTTATTGCGGAGTCAATTTCGTATCTCAGGAATTTTCTCTTGTTCCATATATTCTCACGGCCTCTAGATGAATGTGCTGATATAAACTACTTTCTCCTACATTCACCAGTTGTGCTTAGAATATTACTTAAAACATATTAAATTACCCTGTTCTACATGTCTAAATGGTGAATCGACTGTCATATTTTTAACTAAAGAGACAATACTTCCACTACGACTTGCTTATTAATGAGTATTGATCTATTCAATATCACCTCTGACCCTTTATAACTCGCATTTGAGAACAATGAAATATACCAACATATGGATACATGATAAATATAACTTAATGATATACAATTGAAAGAAGATTAGATTCGTGAAAGTTATTTGATAATCCACTCAGAGTATTAATAATTCTTAAAACTTTCTATAAGTTTATCAATTTCACTTATGTATACTGCTCACAATTACGTGATCAAAATACTTTTGAGGACGATTCCTTTAAAGCGGGGTACTTCGTGTCCTACTGAAGTCTCTTCTGTAAAAGACGTGCTGACTCGTAAAGATCCGATACATTAAAAACAGGTTTCCTTACATACGAACTCAAGCCATCTCGACAAACTAGAAACCTCATTCATTTGAAAATCAATTTTCTAGCTACTCATGATGACACGATGAATATCACCCTGAACAGGTTTCAAAAATTCAGCTTTTGTCTTCTGTCCTGTCTTCTGGGCTGAAGCATGCCAGCAACTAACTTATTGCATCAGACGCTTTCCCTACATTTGTCTTCCATTCCCTTCTCCCATTCTACACCATCACTGGGATAATTTGATTGATTTGATTTATTCAGTCAAAAAAACAGTAAAAACTATGTAACGTAGGGACGAAAAGATTATCTACGCACGTTTTCTTGAGTTCCAGAATCCCTTCCCGTCATTTTAACTATAAATAGTTGAGAGATGAGTATAAGTTTAACAAAAATAAATAAAAATACACCTACACCTATTACCATCACTGGGATAATCTATTTAGCTGTTCGATTTCAAAGTGAGGCAGTCTATTTTCTTGGATTATTTTTATGAATTAAACCTGAAAAATGTAAATATTCAATAGAAATGGTGTTTCTAATTAACTAATTGTAATCGATCGCATGAGAAAAATGACACGTGCTGCTGTTCCTTTATAACATTTCGAAGTTCATGAAATAAATAGTTAAACGAAAAACAGCCAAAAGAGTAAAATATTTGGAATGTAAGCCGCAACATTTTTTAATTGTTCTTCAATAATCAATGTTGAATCGTTTTTCTCACTACGACTTGATAATATTTCAGAATATCTTCGTGACATATCTCGTACTACCTATTTGTTGGGATAATGTATAAATCATCAAAATACTTCACGTATTAATTGACAAAGCCTTGGTACTAGCGCGATTACAAGTTTAAATTTGTTGCAGGCATTGTAATGATATTATTTTTATTAAAGCTTAGTACATTGAAAGTTGTGTACTATTGTTTCTTTAGTATTATTAGAAAAAAAGGAAGGAACGAAGTGGCATATTATTAATATATAATGGAAAATTAAATGAAACATCTGTTTCGTGAAGGTTCATCTCGTGAAAAAGCGTTTAGTTGAAGACACAAACCCCCAATGATGAAAGCAAATCATAGTGGGGAGAAAAATATTTCCTGTTCTCTCATAATAACAAACTGCTACGTTTCTGGTTCTTGCTGTAAATTGAAATACTGCTACATATTTTGCCACACAAGGTATACTTTTTAAAAAATTACTGCTTATGAAATAATTTAACGAAAAGATGTACTAATAAATTCACTGTACAATTTTTTTTTCTGAACAACATAAAGGTCTTTAAGATTAATGTCAAATGAAAAGAAATTGAATGAGATTATTCTTATATTTTTTTGGTCTAAAAACGATCACTGTGGCGAACTATTCAAGTACCAAAAAATTGTATGTAATGAAGTTCTTTTCGTGTTTTTTGCACCCAATCCCATAAATTGATATGCCCGGTGCCGATTATGTACTAATCTGAAGCATGTAACTTCATTGATCTGACACAAAAGTCGAGGATTCGTGTCAGAACGAGAAAGTTGCGAAATCGAATCACTGGAATTGCCCATCACATGTGACCACACGATGATCTCAACCGCTAGAACAAATTTTATGCCACAACCGCATAATTCGATCAAATCCGATGCTACGATTCGAACTAATCAATTGCGGTAAATCGACTACGCCCGAGCGAAATTCGTGTCGCACGGCGAGAGGGCAAAACCTTGGCCAGGGGCGTCGGCCGCCGCCGCCCACGGGGAGAAAGCAACCTCGGCAGTGCGGGGCTTCCGGCGCCCGTGACCTTGCCCCCGCCGCCAACTGCTCCCTTCCCGCGCTAACCGCCGCACAGTGGGCCAAAACCACTTCGGACGGACACAACATTTTCCGTGACTTTTTTTAAATCGTTGCGTGCTCGCAACGCATCTCTAAGCCCTTCTGGGACATTGAGCGCTGGGAGTAATCCTCCTTGAAATCTTTTAATGTAGTCAGTCATCGTCAGTAGTAGTCATTGTCTTTTATCCCTTAGACCAGGGGTTCGGTGCGTTAGATTCCTCGGTTCTTAGACAGTTACCCAACCAGGAAGAAGCAATGTCTCCAAATTCACTTAACCTCCGTGACTTCACGAAGCATAGTTACGGAATTCAGCTAGCGACTTCAAAAATTAAAACAAAACCGCAGTTAACCATTTTTATCAAATCAATAGTCACGCGGTTTGGAGTGATAATACTGTTGATCACCGTGAGACACAATTGTTCTCCAGGTGTTCTGATTTGACAGACGATAGCAATGGGCATTTTTTTAACCTGAACGTTCTACTTTCTACCAACTCTGTAGGAAACACTTCAGTTTAGTGTCAGCCGTCTCCTTTAAAGAACCATTATCCTAAATGCAAGCTGCTTGGGGTAATATTATATTCTCCACAACCAGTCACGTTTCGAGTTGTTTTTCTTTTTAGTATGATTCGGGAATGATCTTCTGACTTTAAAAGCCCAGTTACTTATTAGAAAAACATTGTTCTATGATTAATGCACTTGTTTATCACACTGAATGATAAAAAAGAACAATATTAGAGCTCCAATCATGCAGTTTCGAATAAATATCACTAGAAAATTTAACTCTTAGACGTTAGGCATTCAACTGAATGGGTTCCGATAAGAGGGAGAACAGTAGATGAACTGAAGTTCATAGTTTTGCCAACTGCCATCAGAATTTCAAAACCAAACATCTGAATAAGGATTCTTCTTCATGCGATCATTGAAATATTTAAAAAATAGTATTATGTTATTTTTTTTTAGGTCTATCTTAACATTTCGTCTATTTGGTCGAAACATCCATCTTCGCCTGCCACAAACTTCACCTTCACTGCGGGTTCCCGGAACAT